AGAACACGGGTGAAGCCCAAGAGCAAACACTGGAAATTAAATCAATCATCTATCTCCCAGGCTTCCTTCCTACTTTCTTAAGGCTACTTGTTTCAAATACATGTTTGTATCCTGAGGGCCTGTCCAGTACTTGTCACAGTGTTAAAAAGAAAGACAAGATCCAGAGAGGGAAGGAGGGAAGGAAAACTGGCTGGTGTGGTGTGGTAGAATAATCACTGGACTGCTAACCTAAAAGTTGTCAGTTCAAACCCTCCAGCTGCATCTTGAATGTCCTTATACAAAGTTGCCATGAGTTGAAACCCACTGAATGGCACCTAACAACAACAACAACATAGCAAATCGGAGTCCTAGTGTGGCGCTGTAGGATAGGCACTGCACTGCAAATCGCAAAGCCGGTGGTTCCAACTCACCAGTGGTTCCTCGGAACCCCTATACAGAGTGGCTATGAGTCGGGATTCACTTGATGACACTTAACAACAACAACAACGGCATATCAAATTTGGCCGATTTCTTTCCTGATGTAGTTCCACCTACAGCCACATGATGGCCACATGTGCAGTGCAGGCGCCAGGTCCTTGCAACTTTGGCATTTTAAATGCCCAGATTTTAAAGCCAGCCGCCTGGGTGTGTTTTTGTGCGTGCCTGCAGTCAAAGCTACGCCCAGCCTCAACGCTGAGCTATAATGCAGGTCAACATGAAAATCTACAAAGGTTTCTCGGTCTTTCTTTCTAGAAAAACCCCAGCAGGAGTTTGATCGTAAAAAGGGCTTTTCAAAAGATGAGCATCCCTTCCGTACACAGCATCCTGGCCGCGGGTTTCAGTCAGTGTGCAGATATTACATTTGATGAGCCACGGGCTCCCAGCCCCAGGGCCAGGCTGGCACCATCAGCTGGGGGAACAACAGGAACTGCAGTCATCAGCTCTGCACCGACATGCCCCGGGTTGGAAAATGTGATTTGTGACAGCAGTTTGGGAATAATAATGAAAACATAATTGCTCCAGGCGGATTGCTTGCCGTCTTTCAGTGGCAAAGCTACTTCACTTCCTTGGAGAAGAGCTGTAGGTTTTAGCTTTTGTTTCTCAAGGACAACCAGAGGCACACCCAGCAACTGTCCTTCTGCCCCCAGTGACTGAGAGGTTTCTTTGAACCTCAGAGAAAGGCTGTCCACACACCTGGAAGGACCTGCCATAGCTGCAGGGTCTTTGTAAAAGCCTGTCTAGGCAAGCAGAACCGCCCAAGTCAGGGATATGGCTTTGAGAACTGTTCATCCCACTCACCCGGACATGCTGCTGTGTCTTTTGGCTCTTGAAACTTTTTGTAAAATCCTCTAGCGTTCACACCCATTCCTCACTGAGTCTTCAACACCACCCTGGAAGCAGTAGAGGCTGTTACATCGTTAGCCAGAAGAGGACAGGAGAATCAGGAAGATGAAATGACATGCCAGCAGGATCTGCATTGCTCAGTGCAAATCTCAGCCCCTTCACCTGTAAAATGAGGGGGAAAGAGGATGGCCTCATGGGCTTTAGGGAGAGCTGAATGAAATAAACCCCCAAACTAAACTCACTGCATCCAGACAATTCCCACTCACAGCAACCTGACAGGATACAGTGGGGATGGCTCCTTAGGGCTTCCGAGGTTGTAAATCTTTGCCCATGGAGTGGCTGGTTGGTTTGAACCGCCAGCCTTGAAGTTATCAGTCCAACAGTTAATCCTGTATGCCACCAAGGCTCCTTAGATGAGACCAGGCAGGTAAAATACTCGGTGTGGGGTGGCAGGAAGTCAGTGATGCATGCGTCTTGTACCTCTTCATACAATCTCACAGCTTCCCAGTCCCGTATTCAGTACAAACAGCTCCACGCAGCCCTCAATAGTTTGGGGCAGTGGCAGTCTTTCTGCCCTAGGGCTTCTCTGACCCATGATGGGACTTTGCTCGTCTTCTAAGGGTATGCGCCCTAAAAGGTTGATGCTGATGGGATCATTCTTGAAAAGTGGGAGAACGGTGCTGTGTCAGAAATGCTTTATCTTGTCCTTCCTCCAGGGGGCAGCTCTGAGTCACATCCTAAGTGGGTAGACTGAGCAAGATCATTTCCAGTGGAGAACAAATTGTTAGCACACTCCTTTCATGTAGACATTCTTTCCTTCCTTCCTGTTTCATGGGCTCCAGTACTTCACACCATTGGAGTCCTGGTGTAGGAAAAGTGTAAGGTCGGTTTGAACCACAAGGTAGAAGGTTCAAACCCACCAGCTGCTCCTTGGAAACCCTATACTGAGGCGCTATGAGTTGAAACCAAGCCGATGGCACTTAAGTACAACAAAAATTCTTTACTCATGCACCCTGGGATTGTCGTTGTTGTTGTTAAGTGCAGTCAAGTCAGTTCTGACCCATAGGGAACCTGTATAAGGTTTCCAAGGAGTGGCTGGTGAGTTTGAACTGCCTACCTTGTGGTTCAAACCGATTTTGCAGTCCAGCACATTAACCAATAGAGCCACACCAAGACCTCACCCTGGGATTATCTCCCATATAAACTGCCTGGGTAGAAGTCTCTGGTGCAGAACTAAAGTCTGCGGACTCTCAGGAGTCCTTCAAGCTTAGCAGGTGTTCGTATACTCACACACACATTCACGCACACGTACACTCACACAAACACACACATTCACACACCTACACTCATACACACACACACACACACACATTTCTATGACAGGATGGTAGGAGGGGGAACGTTGGACCAGCTGTAAAGTGTTTTTAGAGCATCTTGAAGGGGCCAAGGCCCCCACAAGTGTATTTGTCCGGTCCCTTAAGGATACTGGTTCCTGGGCATTGAGGCAGAGAGGTGGTCAATTCCAGGTGCCTCATATTACAAATACTTTAGCCCTGAATGCCTCAGGTGGAGCCAAAAGCTGTCTCCTTCCAGTGATTTAAGGGCACTGGTAAGCCTTGCAATGCAAATATGTTGTGTGGGTGGGGTGACACTTTTACGATTTGGAAGTTGGAGTTTGTTGTTGGAGGCAGGTAGGCAGGCCTAGGTAAGTGCCTTAGAACTGTCTACCCTTATCCCTTTAAACTACCATTTCTTGGTGACCAGCTATGAGTCAGCATCATGCTAACACTTGCATGCATTTCAGCCCTTCTGAACCCAGGCTTCACAACAGAACCAGTTGGGGGCCTTTAGACGGTAAGGTTGGTTTGAACCACAATGTCGGCGGTTCAGATTCACCAGTCACTCCTTGTAAACCCTTTCTCGGGTCACTATGAGTTGGAACTGACTCAATGGCACTTTACAACAACAACAACCTCCACCCCTTCCTCCCCAATGGTTTGAAGGTAGGGCTTGGGCATCCAGAAAGTTCCTCAGTTGGGTGTCATGTGCAGTTAGGTTTGAGAACCACGGACACACGCTGTCTTCTTTCCTTCTCACTGCCACCTCCCAGGAAGGCATTCTTACACTTCACATGCAGAAGAGGAAGCAGTGAGCATCTCAGAGAAGTTTCTGGACCTTCCTAAGGATACATAGCCAGTTAGTTATGAGACAATGCTCCAAGGGTAAGTCTGTCTGACGCCCAGTACCAGACTCATTCACACAAGGTACTTGCTAAATGTCATTCCTAAAAATCCCAAAGAGGAGTAGGATATAGCATGTTCCTCCAGGAGAGGTTACTTGTTGGACCAAAGCAAACTGGCAATTTCATTCAAGTCCATGCCTCATCTTTTAAAAAATCACAAGAGAAGCTTGCGTGAATGTGATATTTCCATGTTTGTTTTTACAGAAGGCTTATGTAGAAGGTTATTCAAATCTTCTATAATAGAAATACATTTTGTATTATTTTCTATTAATCCAGTGCAGTGCTATGGGTTTCTTTTACATTTGGCCTTCCTAGTGTTGGGTTTATAATTCTGCCAAAATGATTGATTAGCCCACAGTCGTACAAAGGGTGACAGCTACACAGCTCCAGTAAAATAGCTGAGGGCTGAGCCACTCCTACTGAAGTGTGTGATCTCCCTGCAAACTTGGAGTGGTCAGAATGACCCTACCCTAGCTCCCAAGATATAAGCTAGCATCTGAACTTGTCTAATTTCATAAGGAAAGATGAGAATCAAGGTCTACACACAGCTGATTCTTACATGGTTGAGGTCAAACATTCCTTCATTTTCCAACTGTTTCATTATTTCTGACATCCACAATGCCTACTCCTCCATGGCACTCTCTACTTCTCTGCTGGGTTGAGTAGTTCATGGCAATGGCCACACTGAATTCACAGGCTACACTCAATGGTTGCATCCTTTATTTAAAAAGGAACAGACTACACCTTAGGGTTAAGGATCATCCTGGAAGTAACAAGATGTAACACAGGAGACAGGAGACAATTCTTCAACCAGGACAGCTTCCTACCAAGAGCGTTGGAAGCTTCTTCCAAGAACTGCCAACTCATGGCAACCCCTATGCACAACAGAATGAAGTGCCACCTGTTCCTTAATTGGTGGCATGTTTGAGTCTAGTTTTTACTGGCGAATTATCAGGAATACGTTGTCAGGCCATTTTCCTTAGTCTTCATCTGTAAAGTCTTAAAATTGAGCTTGGCTAGATGCTCCAAACAGCCACTGATTTTGCTCTCTCCTCAATAGGCACATACAAGTGTGTGTGTGTGCGTGCACACACACTCACGCACATTTCTAATCATTGCAACATGAATTTGCATTCCAAATGAGCCCACTGAGGCTTAGGGCTATACATCTAATAAGTGAAGAGTTCAAATTTACACCCAATCCTTTGGCAACTGTATCAGCCAGAGTTCCTTAGAGAAATAAAACCAGTGGGAGGGATGGAGGAATGGATGGATGGATGGATGGATGGATGGATGGATGGATGGATGGATGGATGGATGGATGGGTGAATCGGTGGATGAGTGGATAGGTGGGCAGGTAAATAAGCAGGTAGATAGATAGATGGCAGTGAGATGTAGAGACATAAAGAGATTTAGTATAAGGCATTGACTCACTTTATTGTGGGGATCGACTGTTCAAAGTTTGTAGGGCAGGCTGGCAGGCTAGAAACTCTGGCATAATTTTTATGTTACAGTCTTGAAAAAGAATTTCTTTTTCCCTAAGAAACTCAGTTTTTGGTTTAAGACCTTCAACCAATTGGACGAGGCCTACCCACACTTTCTGCATGTTAATGTTAATGAAACATACAGGTATCTGGGCTAGTGTTTCCCCCAAACAACTGGGCAAAATGGCTTAGTCATGTTGACATAAGAAATTACGCATCTCAATAACTAAAGTCCAGATGCTTTTCAAGGTTATAACAATGCTTGTAGGCAGTGATTTTAAAATACTTTCAGGCCCAAGACAGGGAGGCTATTTGCCTAACATGTAGGCACTGGTATCACTCACCAGCCAAGCCACTCTCTTTTTGTTTGTTTGTTTGAAATAATGAACCTAAGTTTTAAATCTAGTCAGCTGACCACTTGGCGTCCTGTAGGAAAATTTCAGGTAAACAGTTTCCATTGGGCCTGTCTCCCCCATCAAGAAAATATTTGGACACACATTGGCAGCATCTCCTGCTTTCTGACCTTCCAGCAGTCTCCATTATAGGGTTCCAAAGAGTTCAGTCCCAATAGTGTAACCTGCTAAATGCAACAAGCTCACGCTCCCAGTACCTTCTGCTTTCTGTGGGCTCTACGGAAATATCCAAGAGACTGAAAACCATGACAGCCCAGATGCCGGGCTCACCTTGTAACACATTTTCTCTGCACTTAAATTTCAGTCCAGCCACAGTGCTTCTTGGAGGCCAAGATGGCCAAACTTTGTCTCTCATACTTCGGACATATTGTCAGGTGGGACTAGTCGCTAGAGAAGGATATCCTGTTTGGTAAGGTGGAGGGTCAGAGAAAAAGAGGAAGACCCCCAGTGAGATGGATTGGCAGAGTGGCAGCATTGATGAACTCAAGAGTGGCAACAGTAGTGAGGATCATGTAGTGTTTCGTTCTGCTGTGCATAAGGTTGCTATGAGTCGGTACTGACTTGATGGCACCTAACAGCAACAACAACAATGTGTATACTTGGAAACCATTCTGGGCTTCCAAATGAAGACTAAAAACATGATCTTGTGTTTGGTCTCTAGTGACTGTGGTTCAGGAACTATATGAGGTAATTAGATATGTTACATACGGGATCTCATTTCATTCTCCCAACAGCTGTATAAAATAGTGATTTTTATCATTATTTTTACCTGCACAGAAGTTACATGCTGGACAGTTGGAAGATATTCTTTCTTCTTCTAGGAAAACTGGGTAAAGTTGATTTCGATCTCTACTCTGGGAGCTTGGTGACTCCGTACAATAAGCACTGGACTGTGGCACAAGGTCTGTGTGTGGTTTGAGTTCATCAGCACTATGAGAGAAAGATGAGACTTTCTGCTTCCATAAAGACATAAAAAGCCTTGGAAACCCTGTACGGGCTCACTATGAGTAGAATACTGAATGGAAGGCATTCAGCAACAACACCGATGAGTTGGAGAGTAACTCTATGGCACTTAACAACAACAACATTCTCAACTCCCATGACAGGGAGAGCCCTGAGCCCTCCCCCTGAGACTTCTGGGAGGTCAGAAAGGTGCAGCCTGTCTGATTTCTCCTGTGTGGTAAACCATTCACAGTCCTTTTGTGGGCAACAAATACCAAAAACATGTCCAGAAGGCATTTTTAACATAGGATTCTTTATTGATCATTTCAGAGGCAAATAAGAGACAGAATGTATATCTTGGCAATGCAAGCAACTTTGCCAAGAAGAGGCCTGGGGATTTTTCCAAGATCTTCTAGTTACTGGGAATTTGTGGATTTTGTACTGGCCTCTAGTTGCTTTTCTCTCTTACACTCTTTCTCTTCTAAAGACACATACTTGCTTTCTCTACTGTCTCTATGTGTAGTGGCTTACTTGCTCACAATGTCTTTATTTAGCAATATATGTGTTTCTGGGTTTTTACTTATTAAAGTATTTTTCCATAAGAACCTCTGTGCTTGGCATAATGGATACATTTTGCATAAGAAGAATCCATGTGTTGTGATTCCATATGATAATCATTGGACTGTGAACCACAGGATCCGTGGTTTGAGCCTGCCAGTTGCTTTGTGAAGAAAGATAAGGCTTTCTAGCCTGCAAAGATTTTTAAAAGCTTTGGAAACTGTATTCAGGGTCACTGTAAGTCAGAACTGACTCGAAGTCACTTAACAGCAACATATTGCTTTGGTAAAGAGCACAAGCTTAGAAACCTGGCTTTCTGGGTTTGAAATCTGGTCAGATGGTTTGAGCCGTCTATTCATTAGGTTATTTGTCTGTGAAAGAGATGGGGAAAATAGTAACTACTTCTAAAGATTCAATAACTTCAATAGTAACCAAAACAAGTTGATGCTTTAATCAGCATCTGCCAGACTCAGGTTTCTTTCTGAATGTGACTGGGAAACAGGGAGGGTATCTACCTGATTTTCCTTAAACAGCAAGTAATAGAAGCTAGGACACCAGGCAGGCAAAAGGAAACATGCCCACTGCAGGCTCAATATGTAGGGAGAGGAGATGTCTACTGGAATTGAGCAAGGCACAATTTAGGTCTTAAGGGAAGAAGGGATAGATGTTTTCAAAATCAACATGAGAAGAATAGCCATAGAGATGGAAGTAAGAGAATATGGAAATACACAGAAAAATGGGTGACTATGGAATGTCCAGTACGTGGACACCTGGCTAGGGAACTCTGGAGCACCAGGAGAAAATGGGATTGATGAGGCTGGAGAAGAAGAAAAGGCCAGATTACAGATGACATTGGAGGTCTCGGGCCTCACCTTGTGGGTACAATTCTCTCCACTGAAGGTAGTGGTGGTGGTGGTTGTGTGCCCCTCAATTGATTCCCACTCATAGCAACCTGTGTAGGGGTTCTGAGGCTGTAAATCTTTATGGGAGCAGAAAGCCTAATCTTTTGCCCACAGAGCAACTGGTAGATTCAAACAACTGACTTTGCAGTTAGCAGCCCACCTCGTAATCCACCATACACCAGGACTTCTTTCAGTTGAATGTAGTAACTGATAACGTTAAGTAACTATTACCATTCTGGATTCAAAGAAGGGAAGTTAGTTCATTGAATCCAATGAATTCCTTAGGGCATTAGGACTCCATTCTCTTGAGAACCCCTATATAAAGAAGCAAAATGTACTTTCTCATCACCTATTTTTATTCTTTTCTAAATGGTTATTGAAGTCCTGGTATGGAGTTGTAGGATATGCAATAGACTGCTAGCCACCAGGTTGGCAGTTCAAACCCACAAGCTGTTCATTGGAAATCCTATACAAGGTCATTATGAGTTTGAACCAACTCATCACTTTGCAAAACAACAGCAACTAATGAGAGCCAACATCTTTTAATTTGTTGGCTGTGGAAATCTCCTCTTAGGTGAAGTATCTGTTCATGTCTCTCTTTGCCCATTATTTGATTGCATTGTCTGAGTTGTTGAAGTTTTCTATGAATTTCAGACATTAGATCCTTATCAGATATATCTTTGCCAAATAGTTGTTCCCCAGATGTAGGCTCTCTTTTCACTCTTTTGGTAGAGTCTTTTGATGAGCATAAGTGTTCAATTTTTTAGGTGGTCCCAGTTATCTAATTTATCTTCTGTCATTCATGTACATGTTTACATTTTTGGTTTTGTCTGATAGACTGTTGATGTAATAAATAGATTCCCTAGTTTTGATCTTTTCAGCTCAGCTTACAAATGAAGACAGAGTAGGATGAAGGAGACATGGACCACTTTGGAATAATTAGTCACTGAAAACACTAGACGATTATTAGATATAGTGCCAGAAGATAAGCCACTCAGGTTGGAAGGCACTCAGAATACAATGGGAAGAGCTGCCTCCTCAAAGTAGAGTTGATGGTGACAACATGACAGGGGTAAAGCCTTCAGTACCCTCATATGCACAGCTCAAAATGAAGAGAAACAGCCGTGAACATCCATCAATGATCAGTACATGGAATGTACAAAGTATGGATCTAGGAAAATTGGAAGTTGTTAAAAATAAAATGGAACTAATAACATTGATATTCTAGGCATAAATGAGCTGAAATGGACTGATACTTGCTATTTTGAATCTGGCAATCACATGGTTTACTATGTTGGGAATGACAGATTGAAGAGGAATAGCATCACATTCATCGTCAAAAAGAGCACATCAACTTCTATATTGAAGCACAATGCTGTCTGTGATAGGATAATATTCATACGCCTACTAGGACAACCAGTAAATACCACTATTATTCAAATTTGCACACCAACCACAATAGCCAATGATGATGAAATTAAGAATTCTATCAACTTCAGTCTGAAATTGATCAAGCATGTAATCAAAATGTATTGGTAATTACTGGAGATTGAAATGCAAAGGTTAGAAACAAAAGAAGAAGAATCAGTAGTTGTAAAATCTGGCCTTAGTGATATATATGATGCTGGAGATCTCATGATAAAATTTTGCAAGACCAATTAGTTCTTCATTGCAAATATCTTTATAACAATATAAAAGACACGGACCTCACCATATGGAGAATGCAGTTATCAAATTGACCACATATGTGGAAAGAGACAGTGGAAAACTCCATATCATCAGCCAAAATAAGGCCAGGGGCATACTGTGGAGCAGACCATCAATTGCTCATATGCAGGTTCAGGCCAAAGCTTAAGAAAATTAGAGCAAGTCCAAGAGAGCCAAAATATGACCTTGAATATATCCTACCTGAATTAAGAGAGCATCTGAAGAACAGATTTAATGAATTATTTTATTAAAGACTGAAGACCAGAACAGTTGTGGGATGACATCAAGGACATCTTACAGGAAGGAGGCAAAAGGCCAATAAAAAAACAACATGAAGGAAAAGACCAAAGTGATGATAGATGAGACTCTGAAAATTGCCCTCCAGTGTAGAAATGCTAAAGCAAATGGAAGAAATGAGGAGGTTAAATAACTGATTAGATAATTTCAAAGATCAACTTGAGGAGACAAAATCAAATATTAAAACAAAATATGCAAAGACCTGGAGTTAGAAAACCAAAAGGGAAGAAAACTGTGAGCATTCCTCAAGCTGAGGGAACTGAATAAAAAATTCCAACTTCAACTTGCAATCAATATTAAAGGACACAATGTGGAGTCCTGGTTTTGTATTGGGGTTAATGCACTGGACTGCAAAGTTGGCTTGAACCGCAAGGTTGGAGGTTCAAGTTCACCAGCTGCTGATAGAAAACTCTATACAGGATCACTATGGGTTGGACCCAACTCAAAGGCACTTAACAACAACTGCAATGGACAAAATATTGAATGATGCAGAAAGCATAAAAAAAAAAAAAAAGAGAGAGAGAGATGGAAGGAATACACAGAGTCCCTGTACCAAAAGGAAATGGTCAATCTTTAACCATTTCAAGAAGTAGCATATGATCAAGAGCCAATGATACTGAAGAAGGATGTCCAAGGTGCGATGAAGGCATTGACAAAGAAAAAGGTACTAGGAATTGATGGAATGCAAATTGAAATCTTTCAACAAGCTAATGCAGCACTGGAGGTGCTAACTCATCTATGCCAAGAAATTTGAAGGACAACTGCCTGGCCCACTGACTGAAAGAAACCCATGTTTGTGCCCATTTCAAAGAGAGGTGACACAACAGAATGTGGAAATTATTGGATAATAATATTAATATTACATGCAAGTAAAAT